CATTTTCTCGAGAGATGACAGGTGAACTTCGAACGTGTGATTGATACAGATCAAATCGTCCATGTACCAAAGAACATTCCGGAGTTTGGACCAAGGTGACCTAGAGCGAGAGACATGACATGTTGGAAAAGCCAAGGTGCATTAGCTTCTCCAAACGGCATCCTTTTCAAACAGCACTTGCCGTTAGGGATGACGAACGCAGTACGGTCCACGTGCTCCTCCGCCACGAAAATCTGCCAGAATGCGCTGAGGATGTCGGCGACCATGATGTAGAGAGCTTGGCCGACGGCATCGAGGCAGGACTCGAGGTTGGGCATGGGCCAGGTTTAAGGGACGATGTGGCGGTTGAGAGTGTGGTGGTAGTCTATGCAGAAACGTGGACTGCCGTTTTCCTTAGCGACGAGGGTGCATGGGCTTCCCCATGCGTTGGGCCGTTTTTCAATGATACCCCACTCGAGCATTTCGGCGACACATTTGTCGAAGACAGTCGCGACTCGGGGATTCGGACAGTACGGCGGACGACAGGACGTGTGCAGGGTGGCACCGGAAACGTGGCTTCTGCAATGGTGCAGCGGCTGAGTTCGGACATTGACAGGGAAATGACAGGACGGTATTTTGTGCACAAGTCGAGGACGGCTTGTTTTTACTCAGATGTGAGAGTGGTTTTGTCGAAGGCTTCGGACAGAGGCCCTTTGAGTTCGAACTTGGCGTGGCGAAGTTCGTCATCGGTGACGGGTGTATTCGCGACACCATTGACATGAAGTTGGTCAGGTTCAGTGACAGTCACTGTGGACATTTGACCGAGACAAAGGCCATCATAGAGACGGACGCTATTTGACGAAGGATTGGCGATTTGGACAACAACAGATCAATCGGAAGCATGCCGCGTTGCTAGAGTACGGGCAATGACAATGTTGTTGAAAGGACCAAGTGTTTCGTCGTGGGACAAGTCTTGTTCGGAAACGATCCGAGGTTCGACAACGACTGTACAATCGGTGTAGGTGACAGCAAGCGCTTCGCGCATCGGTGGGATATCGACGCGTTCACGCAAGGACACTGCGACTTCTATGGAATCGCTATGGACAGCAGCCACGGACGGTTTCGGGTCGTGGCGACGACTTCTACGTGAGGAACTGGACGAATTGGTGCGGTGGACAGCTGGTATTTGCAAACCAGAGGACGAAAAAGACAGGGTTTGTGTTCCCAATCAAGGATCGCACCAAAATCCGACGTGCTGGTGTGTAGAGGAAACTCTCCACGTCAGTAGATGTGGGTACACCTGTTTTTGTTGTACCCCGTGTCCATGTCCGCAAGTGTCGTTGCGTAGTGCCTAGAGTGCGTGCTCGTCCTCATGGTACCGAGAAAAAGCTTTTGGGTCTCACTGCTTTGTCTGAATTGCGTGTCCCCTCCCCGCTTGATACCGAGAGGGAGAGCCTCTGCCATCGTCACGTAAACGTCTTGCGTGTGTACAGCTCAAGGCTGGCGCACAAACCCAATACTTCTTGCCTGTCTCTGTCTTCACGACGAGTGCGTATTGACGGCTCTGTCGAAGACTGTCCCGTGAGTAACATCACAGTGGACACAGCCACTGATGTCCCTGTCGTGTCGCTTCCTTGGTTGCAATCCCATGCAACCTTGCGAAATGCGCCACTCAAGCCTGTCCCTCCCGCTGCCGTATCCCTTAGAGCAGCGAAAGGCTCGCCGATAGAAGTCATGGGGTTCATTGATTTTCCATTTACCCGTTGCGGTATCACCCGTACGGTCACCGCTCTTGTTGTACCCGCCCTAGGACCTCGGAAGACATGGGTCGAGATAGGACAGTTCAGGTGGAAACCTGTTCTCTGACGCCAGATAAGGTTCGCCTATCTCAGACCGACGGAAGGGGTTTGAAGCTTCTGTCGACTGTATGACCAGAGGAGACTTCCGGAGCGACGGTGGGGAGCCGCTAGCGTACAGACTTGCGGGACAGGAGTAGTTCTCTAGGAAGAGAAAACGGTGTAGTCTTAGGGAAGAGACCGGAAGGAGAGTGACAGAGGAGGGGTCAAGAGGGGTGTGCACAGCACACCACTCCGCAGCCCTGATGACGCAGAACCGACCTGTCTAGGCGGTGACACGGACACAGTCTGTGCTGGCGTGCTGACGTGGTACAGCATTGACACGCTATCGGGGAATCTCCCCGGGCGTGAGATGACAAACAACGATCTGGGCGGTTGCAGTATGTATGCGGTACGCGGACATGTGTATACAGTGACATGCGGATGTGCGCGGACCGCACGGAAAGATCCTCAGAGCAAGCGGAGGAACAGTTGGACACTGGACCTCGAGTAGGACGTACGTACAGCTACACCAGAGACTCACAGTAACCATAATGGTGGTCGAGTAGATCATGTTTTGCGGGGTGGAGAACCCTCACTCCGCGCAAGGGGGATGATCTCACCACGTTGTGTTAAAATGGTCAAGCACCCTCGAGGCACACAGTGCTTCAAACTGTCTCTGGAAGCACCAGAAAATAAATTCAGTCACACGCAGCTGTCATTCATACACAAGGAAGTACCGTAAGGTTGCGGGTTAGCGCACGGTCCGGGGTTTCCGCACGGTCCGGAGTCATCGCACAGGGGTGCGATGAAAATTGAATGGCATAGTTGTTTACTACGTTTTCCGCACAGGGTCCGGAGTTACCGCACAGGGGTGCGATGACTCGCAACCTACAGTAGGATAGTAGTTGAGTGCCAGCGATTTCGGGGCAACTTCCACCCTTCCAACAATGCCAGTGTTGGCCATGGCAACTTCCACCCCTGCAACCATGCCGATGCTGGCCATGGCAACTTTCATCCCTGCCACATGCCAGTGCTGGCATGTAGCTCTGCTGTATGGGTAGGTAGGCCATCGTCGCATACCACAAGTGGAGGTATGAAGGACATGAAACACATTGGTATGTCCATTGGATCGGCATACTTGAACATTGTCCATTCAACCAAAACACGAGAAAAAAATAGCAGCCATCACCCAAAACAACGAAGAGCAGTAAGTACCATGGAACAGCACCATGGAACAGCAGCACTATTGTACCTACTCCAATGTCCTACTTCTTCTGCTACGAAACAAGTTTCAACCCCGTCACTACCAGAAACACCTAACAGCACCAACCTCCGCACTGCTGGGATGCACACACTAGCATGTTCTGGGAGCCAACCTGCCACTACTGGTACACCCCAAGAAAGTGCGAGCCGGAACGTTTACAGATCATCCTGATCCCCTCCCGCAGCCCCAACCCATGGCCCATGCAACAGCTCTACATCGCTGCCAACGGGTCCGCAGGGGCAGCTACCACATCCGCAGAGGAAGGGCCGCCACCGCTAGCTCCTGAGATCGCGCTACCCCCCGTACTCGAAACCTCCGACATGATAGCCAAGCGATTGTGGGTCGCGTGTAGGCACAGCTCGACGGCGGGCAGTTACCCATGTTTTCCGCCCTCGGCATTTCGTATTTCGCCGTCCTATATTTTGCGGCTATTTTTTCCTGTGTGTAAGTGTACTTTCTCGAAACATTGCATCCATCGAGTTAACTGCTGTGGTTGGCTGACGTGCGCGCGCGTGTGTACGTTGCATGTGGAGCCTGCAACCGCAGCACAAGTGAGATGCCCGAGCGTCTGCAAAGTCACTTCTTTCAAGTACCGCACATACAGGAGTTATCGCACAGGGGTGTGCGTTGAACATTCTTGAAAATATCGCCTACAGGGTTTAGACTCAAAACAGCACAAACTGGAGTCATCGCACAAGGGTGTGCGTCATGTATCGAAACCAAATAATTTAATTCAATTTCCGCACAGGGTGTGGAGTCATCGCACGGTCCGGAGTCATCGCACCCCTGTGCGACGAAAATCAAATGGCGAATATGTTCAAAAAACGACCGCACGGGGGTGCGCTAACTCGCAACCTTACGGTAAGCACGAGATGCCGAACACCCTTAGCAGGATGCAGCGCACCCATCATGCGACTCGCCGAACACCTCACGGCGCTTCGCGCTTGGTGAGGTGAGAGACAGGTCCGGTGAGAACCCGGCGTGCTCCGTCCCAGCTTTGTAGGGATGCGAGGTCAACGGCCTAACGACTACGGCATACACGACTCTGAGTACACCCCCCCCGCCCATTGGGGGCAGGGGGGCCTTTCGGGTGACCGAGTAGTAGGGCTTTCTTTGCGTTCTTCGACACATTTCGACTCGTTCGTGAACCGCACGCAATGTTTTCGGTTCAACAGATGAGTGGTAAGCTACAAGTCAGTGGAATGCATCTGTAAAAATATGGACGCGCCCATGTCCAGGTATGTCCCAACCAGGCCACGGCGTCCAAAATATGGGTATTGCATGAGGAATTCCGAGGTGTGGCGGCAATGTACAGCACAAGTCGTTGTCACAACACGTTTGTCCCAAAGGGTAGGCACGAAGGTCCAACAAAATGGGTGATGGTGGTGCTAACGCTGAGGTTGTTTCCTCTCCGTCAACAGGGCTGACCACGATCATGTGCTGGCAANCACCCATCATGCGACTCGCCGAACACCTCACGGCGCTTCGCGCTTGGTGAGGTGAGAGACAGGTCCGGTGAGAACCCGGCGTGCTCCGTCCCAGCTTTGTAGGGATGCGAGGTCAACGGCCTAACGACTACGGCATACACGACTCTGAGTACACCCCCCCCGCCCATTGGGGGCAGGGGGGCCTTTCGGGTGACCGAGTAGTAGGGCTTTCTTTGCGTTCTTCGACACATTTCGACTCGTTCGTGAACCGCACGCAATGTTTTCGGTTCAACAGATGAGTGGTAAGCTACAAGTCAGTGGAATGCATCTGTAAAAATATGGACGCGCCCATGTCCAGGTATGTCCCAACCAGGCCACGGCGTCCAAAATATGGGTATTGCATGAGGAATTCCGAGGTGTGGCGGCAATGTACAGCACAAGTCGTTGTCACAACACGTTTGTCCCAAAGGGTAGGCACGAAGGTCCAACAAAATGGGTGATGGTGGTGCTAACGCTGAGGTTGTTTCCTCTCCGTCAACAGGGCTGACCACGATCATGTGCTGGCAAAACGGGACGTCGTTTGCGATTGGAGAGGACGTCGTGCACGAGTTTAGTATCTTCAAGACTCACGTGTACCCCCGATCGATGTAAGCCCCACAGTACGACAAAGTCGCTGAAACCACCATGTGGTAGACCACAGCGTGGTAGCATGTACCGGTCGCCCCGGTGGTCTAGGGGGTAGCCTCGCAGCCTGCTAAAGGCCAGGTCCTGGGTTCGAGTCCCGACAGAGTGAGTATTTTCTCGTTGATTAAATCCTGGTCTCCGTTGGAAGCGATGCGCTGCGTTGTAGACTTGATCGACTTCATAAGTAGCGAGGGAAGGGATTGCTGTACCCTTCTGGCGATAAAAATATCTCGGACAGGAACCGCAGGAGGGGGTCTAACCCCCCCCTCCTATGTGACCCCGGTTGAGTTGTCTAGCTGGTTGAAGTGGAGGATAGGGGCCAGAGGGCAGTCGACAGAGTCCAATGATGGGAGACAAAAACAAATAATGTATCATGCCGATTTGCGAGGTCTCGAGCGGAAATGGACGACGTCTGCCTCGACGTCGAAGGGTGAAGTGTTCTGACACGGATGAACACCTAGTTGCATCCATTTACATAACACGTGACGCGCCCCAGGTCAGGTCGTCGCCCCAAACTCCGATGATGATATACTAATTGATTCTACTTTGGCAAGGTTACACAAGGTCAACCACCTCCCCACAAAAAGTATCCTACAGCATGGTTTTATAGTTCGATACCACTGAATTCTGCTTCTATCCGTTGGTTTGGAAATCACCGAAACCTCAGAGTACATGTACTCAAGGTACTCCCCTTAGAAAAATGATTGGTAGACATCCTGCACTCAACACGTACGTCAGAATGACCTTTGGCCAACACCGTTCTATCCACGTGGTCTATGGGTTTCCCTCTCCAAACACGAGCTAAGCGTCGACAATAGACCTTGTGCAATCTCCCGGTGTCCGAGAGGATCTGCAGTTCTAGATGAACGACGGTTCCCAATACCTTCACGAGAGGCGTGAGTAACAACGGTACAGCTAGACCTCGAGATTAGAAGTTTTCAGGGCGAAAAAATGTCCCTGGTCGCTAGCCGAATAGACTTTTTAATATATTTTCCAACCAATCAAAACAGCAGGATGGGCGGACACGTCACAATATTTTGGACAAGCCCGAGACTTCTTTGTCACCACATGCACGAGCTGGGTACAGCTCACTCCCTGTGCATTTCCGCCTGCCAGAAGTCCGGTCACGGCACCGCCGAATGCTACACGTCCGCTCCTCTTCGTTTTCCAGCATCCGCGCTTGCTTCTTCGCTTCTTCCTCTGCCGATTTTTGCTTTGCGGCAAGCTTGCGCTTCACCGCAGCCGCCTGTTTCAGCTTGTTGACGTGAGCGACGCATAATCGCTTCAAGGCAATGTAGTCCTTGTCCTCGAGAGCCTTCAAGCGGCGCGCATCAACTCCCGCTTGGGAAAACGTGATACCAGTTCGCGCATAACGTTTTCGCCCTGTTCCTTGAAGCTTTTTTTTGTCCTCCCCTTGTCAATTTCTTTTTGCGTCCAGCGGTGCCCATGAGAGGCTTTGCGGCGTTTGCAATCTCTCTACCGCAACAGCTAGGATCGGGATGCGGTTTGTTGCGGTGTGTGCGCAAAACCCAAAGGAAGCGATCACCCGGTTCAGTTTTTCGAACTCAACGGGAAAAAAACGAGAAACCTGGCCAAAGGCCTTTAAAATCCAGTATAAAACGTATGTTCTCAGTCTTCCGGGGTGCGGACACAAAATCCAAACCGGGTGATTCATAGAGTATGATCTGTAGACCGGTGTTGTAAAGGTTGAAGCGCTAACTCTCCACCTGGGGCCAGCACTTTTGACTGTTAAATCCCGGTCTCAATCCAAGATAATAATATTTCGGCCACCGAGTCTGGAAAAAAAAATGGTTTTTGGGCTGGTTGTAATGCCGATATTTGCTGGTCGTCGGCGGTCTAATCTCGAGATCTAACAGTGTTGTTTCCTTACCGCTGGTACATTTTTGGTGAGCATCCGCTCGCAGGACGCCCACGACAAGATGAACAAACGCTTTTGGTACACATGTGTTTCCTGCTACATTCATCCCAGGTACCCAGCTGCTCGAAAGTTCATCGAGCATCATCACGGCATGGCTTTCGTCGACTTCATGCCCACCAGGCGCGGCAGTTGCCTGCACCCGAACAACATGACAAAATTGACAATGAATGGACGAGAGAAGGGTGATGTTTTCAGACTTCAACTACATGGGGGCATATCTATGGTCAGTCGAATCCCTCCAAGATTTGTTTAGTTGGGGAACTGCCCACCACAGGTAAAACCAAGGTCTGGCTTGACGTGACACGTCGACCTCATCGTGTTCGACGTCAAGATCACAGCAGTATCGTTCACTCATTAACCGCCAAATGTTTGAAGAATAATTCGCCATATATCAGGAGCGCTACATGTGTTGCCGATGCCTGCTTTATCCTTGAAACAAGCACATCAAACCAGTGCGTAACGTGGTGTGTTGGCACACGGCAGCATCCATGGCATGGCATGTCGATCAGGAATAAGCGACGTGTGCACCTCCAGTTATTTATCGTGAACTATTGATTTGGTCTGATCCTCTTGCTTCTTTCTCCAACCGCGCGTTTCAAGTCCATGTCACAATGTATTTCATGATATTCCCGTACGGCATCCATTATTCAAATGAACGGCTTTCGGGTGAAGTGTCGGCCCCACCGCCCCGACCGGGAGGGGGGCGTGCTTAGGTGATAGAGGCCCAGTAGGTTGGCCAGAATGGCCGACGGCTGCTGCGCGTGTACGGTCGATGCTGTTGTCAATCATTTACAATCTTCGGGACCTCTCGCCAATTTTCATTTCTTGGATAATGCACAGTTCGTGCTCAAAGCATTCGTCTCACACAAACTTGAAGAGCGCCACCAAAAAATCCTCCATTCGTTGCGGCAATACTCAATACCTTTACGTTTTTTTGTGTATGTATATATTTTGACAATATGACCAATTGTAAGAAATGTACAAGGACTACAGAAAAGAGAAATATGAATGTGACCCGAGAGACGAAGAAAGAAGGAGATAAATACGAGTGATGTGCCCCCCTGGGGTGAGGTAGCCCAAAGAAGAGTCGACATTTTTGTGTGCATGAGCTACTATAACTCCACCTAACAGCATATTCGTGAAATTGACAGCGAAGCATGAAATTGGGAGCGAGATTGCCCGATGCGCTACAGCTGGACTACTGCTGAGAGGTGGAGCTTATTAGATATACTCGTAGCATAGCATGGTGGGTGATATCTTACGTACTCATGTAGTGACGAGTGCGGAGGAACAGGAAGTTTCTTCATACTTTCCTTGGGAGTGTGATGGCATGGTGGAGATTCATGGACATTCGTTAGGTACTTTGAGCGTGATGAGCGTGACCCGTGACTCCATGCCGTGACCGATTGACGAGCTGAAGCACGCCCCCGATGAATACACAATACGTTGTACAACACGTTATCCTACACGTCCCTACCCTACCACGGCCCGTCATGGCCCAGCTGCTCTACACTCCCAACACAAAGAACTGAGCAACCCGAATTATCGATCACGCTAGCGTATGACACGTCGTCAACGATATTCGCGTCGAGCTTAGTTTGGAGTTACATCGCTTTGCGGCGATCAGCAGCTGTCACCGATGAGCACCCCCGACCGAACCGAGACCGAGAGAGCGACCGTCAAGCAGAGGACGACGACGCCCGGATCAACGAGTTGGTGAACGAGAGGGTAGCAGCAAGACTGGCCGAGATTACAAGGCAACAAGACGAGCAGCAGCAGAGGACAGGTCACGTCCGGAGCGGGAACGACCACGAGACACGCCACCAGCAACATGCGGGGAGACCATCGGATGGCCCGTCCACAGACGACATCGCCCGCACTCTCGTCGACGCCCTGACCAGCCGTCTTCAGATAACACCCGGAGACATGGGTAGAGTACCAAGTAGCGCAGCGACTCTTAGGATGACTGAGGTTAAGCGCCTAGCGCCGTGGGATGGTGTGATTAGGCAAGGGGAGGATGAGCAGGCAAAGTTTTTGATTTTTCGGTCAAACATGATTGCTATGTTTGCGCAAGAAGGAGTCCGGGAAGTGGTATTGAGTGACCGCAGAATTCCAGTTGGGCTAGAAGGAGTAGACATGGAGGACTTACGTAGGATGCACTCGCCTGAGACGGTAGACAAGGCGATCACGGCGTGGAATTTGATTATCACGACAATCACCTACATGCCTGTCTTGACCCAGATTATTGCTGATGGTAGTCCCAGTGGAGGTTGGAAACTATTTCTAGCATACTACGAACCCCAGGCAAGGGCAGAAAAAACACGGTTGACTGCAGAATACCATGCAATCAAAATGCGAGTGGGTGAAACCCCGCAAGAATACTTCGGGAGATTTGCTGTTTTGCGCAGTAGGTTAGCCTCACACGGCGTCACGTACCCCGACGATGATGCCAATCTGCACGTTGTGTACAACTTGTCTTCAGAGTACAAGATGGAGAAAGCCATGCTGCGTGCCCTTCCGCCCCCCAATTTAACCCGTCAGCACCTTGAAAAGGTCGTGAAAGATGCCCATCAGGATATGGTGACCGCACGGGAGGGGGAGCCGCAGAATGGCGCGGGGCACGCTTTCGTCGCTGCCGGTGGGAACCGGGGCGATGGACGTGTCCAAAATGGGTCCAGTGGGAACGGCGGGGGTCAGGACGGCAGTGGAGGCGGTCGGAGCAGCAACAACAGGGCGGACGGAGACAAGAGCTGCGACTATCATCCGTACTCGTCGCACACCAACAGCGAGTGCTACACCCAGCGTCGCCAACGGAAGAAGCAGCAGCCCAAGCAGCAGCAGCCTCAGCAACAGCCTCAGCAACAGCCTCAGCAACAGCAGCAGCCCCAACAACAGCAACAGCCCCCACACCAGCAGCGGCCTCAGCAGCAACAGCAACCTCGGGGACCGCCGCCACAGCAGCCGAGCCGCAGTGGGGGGGGCTGGGGGGGTGGGCCCCAGCACGGACCTCACGGCGGCTACGGAGGACAGCAGCATCACGGACATCCAGCTCCCCCCCGTACACCGCAGCAGCAGTGGCGGCCCCCGCACGGGCATGCAAATGTGAGTCAAACGTATAGTGCTGCGCCCCATGGGGGGCCCGCGTATGGCACCGAGTATGGGGGGTGGGAGCAGCAGCCACAGTATCAGCAACCGTCGCAAGACTACAGCTACCAGCAGCAGCCGTACTACCCGCCTCCGACACCGTACTACCAGCAGCAGCAGCAGCCACCGCCGCAGCCTCCGCCACCGCCGTCGTTCCAGCAGCAGCAGCAGCACTCGACCCATGCCCCGTACCATTCGCCTCCTCCCGACGCAGCCGGATCCCCTGGGCATCTTCACTTCCTCAAGACACGTTTTGTGTCACAAGGCGAGATCTTTCCAAATGTGGTAGCGCGTGAGAATGGTAGTGGTTTCGCTTTGTCTGTTCAGAGTCGCCCTTCGCAGATTGGTAGAGAGCAATTTTGGGCCGACAGCGGCGCGAGCAACACGTTTGTCAGCAGTAGCGAAAACATGTTCGACATGAAGCCAATCCCAGCAGGAAAAGAGTTCATCCAAGTAGGGAATGGTGCCTATCTGCGCGTGCAATGTGTTGGTAGCATCAACATGGCATTTCACATGCCCGGCCCTTCGGGCGAGACCGATTTTTGCGTGCAGATGTCGGACGTGTACGTAGTCCCCGGCATCACATTCAATCTGTTTTCTCTCCACCATACGCAGCGTAGGCAGAGAATTATGTTGGATGAGAATGGCGTGCATCTCTTCAATGGCCAGCTTTCCTTTGCCTACTCCGATGTAGGATGTTCACTTTGGGCCACTCGCTTGCCTCCCACGTATACCGGTAGTGCTGTGACCCTCGGTCCCGATGCCCTCCCTCGTGTGTCTCCCCAAGCTCCCTCGCCTAGCGTTGGGACAGGCCTTGTTGTTGCGAACCCCCCTTTCCCACCAAACACAGGAGCGGGCACACCTGCGAGTACGAGCTTCCAGTCCGCCGGTGGAGTCGCTGCCGGTGTTGTACCTTCGAGTTCGAGTGCGAGTCCGAGCTTCCAGTCCGCCGGTGGTGCCACTGCCGGTGTTGTACCTTGGTCTGCGAGTGCATCTTCGAGCTTCCCATCCGCCACTTCCGGTGTAGTGCTTCCGCATTGTGCATTCCCGCCCATCGACGTAGATGTAGTGCCAACGACTATTGCCGACTTCCAGCCTGTAATTACGGCTGCCGTAGCATCGTCTGAGATTGTTTCTCCCTCCGTCGTTGACCCGAGCGATTCTCGTGAAGTTGTGATCAACCCCCT